CCCGGCGGATCCCGGACTCCCGCCCGCCGCTCCGCCCGCCGCGCACCTCCTCTCACCGCTCGCCCGGCTCCAGCCGCCGCCGCACGGTGAGTACCCGCGTCCGGTCGCCCGCAGCCCCCGCGCCCTGCCCCTACAGCTTTTTTCGTTTAGTTCCGATTTGGGTTCTAGCGGCTGTTTTTATTATTATACCTAAAGACTCCATTGCCTCACTCCCACTGCTGTCCGCCTCCCGCCTCGTCGCCCTCTCCAAGCTCACCCCTCAAGCCCCAGGAGCCGGAGAGGGCCCCGCAAGCAGCCCTGGCGGCTGCTCCTGGCCGCTGCGTACAGCTCATTGCCCGGGCTTTCCGCTCTGGCCCTCGAAATTCGGCTCCTTTCCTAAGGCCCCCCTTCTCCTGGCTCTGGGGCCCAGAGCCCCCTCCACTCCGGAAAAGCCCGCGGGGCCCCCAGACCCTCAGCTTGGGGAGGACGCGCTCTGCTCTGAGGAGCATCCTTCACTGCATGCGGGCAGGGCACACTTGCAGGTTTCGGGAAACCGAGAAGACATCGTCATTTCCCAGAGCCGCGGAGCCCACCCCCACCCCCGTCACCTCCCCAAGCCCGCCTGAGAGCTCTTCAGGGGGGTGCAGGGCTTGCGTCGGTTGGGGAGTTAGGACAGTGTTTTTGCCTCCTAAGATGTTACAAGGGACTTCAACGTGAAAGGAGGGTCAACTTGTTTCAATTCGATCCGCGGAGATGAAGATGAAACAGACAGATAACAGATAAATAGCTTGATACTTGAAGAAGGTATGAAGACAGATGGGAGAAAGAGGAGCGAGCTGGGAGAGACAGGCAGCTCAGGGACAGATAAGATCGACAGATGAGGGGGCTCCTAGACAAACAGGGAGGGGAAGAGACAGACAGAAGAGGAGCCCAGTCTCTTCAATGAAGGCTTTTGAACTCGGATCCCCTGTCTCGCTGGAGCTGCCCCTCTGAAAATGGATTTGCCTTTCCTGACGAGTTTAGGGGAGAGGCCCACCGGGTTGAGCTGCCTGGGCCTCAGGAGCGCCTGCAGCCGTGGGCCCGATGAGAGCCTTTGGTGTCTGAGGACACGTGGCAGGGCCAGGCGACCTAGAGGGCCCCAAACATCAGTCCCTGGGTCCTCCCGCTGCTGAGGTCCACGGGAGAGGCTGCCTCCCTGCCTGGGCCAGAGATCAAGGCGTGGGACCGGCAGCAACTTTTGACCTGGAGCCTTGTGGCTTCGGACACCGGCCAGAATTCTTCTCAACCCGTATGAACTGGGACAGCCCGGCTTGAAGTATACTCAGAGAGGAGACGCCCCCAAAAGAGGAAGCCCAGAGCCCGGAAAGACTGCACTTAGCCTGAGCAGGAAAGGCATATCTGAAGAAGGAGGAAAACTTAGGGAATGGGCTGTTAGAAGCAAAGGAGAAGTGGCTCCTGAGAAACTTCCTCGAGAACCCCTCTGTCCCCACGCGCTAACCCGGATGGAAACCGGCTTTGGTCCGGAGCGCAGCTAAAAATGCAGAAAATGTGGTTAGGAACTGCGTGACCCTGGTTCCACAGATGGCTGGGGAAAAAAACGGTTTGTATTTCCAGCCGGAATCTTTCTGCTCAACGAACGCGAGGCTCAGGGCGTGAGAGGAGAAGCTCGGGTTTGTGGAAACCAGTGCTGTTATTCCGGGGAACCGGCTTGGCACGGAACTGGGTGCGGTGGGGGCCGCCTTGGGGCTAGGCGCGCGCAGAGTGCTTTGGAGAGCCGGGTTCAGCACCGCGAACAGCGGTCGTCTCAGCCTCCTTCCCCC